AATGGACATTGAAGTCATCGGTGCTGAGGCGGTGGCTCCATTAGGTGATTGAGTAAGTGTGGAGAAATGAGTTCGTTCATGATAATTGAGGCTTGAGCATCCCCGTGCCTGTTTCCAAGAGGGAAGACAAAACAAGACGCGAGAAATGCTGCGGCATAAGTCTCATCGTGTTGCCGCATGGGTCATGGTCCCCCTCGGGAGGTTTCAGTGTGTATGGCTCTAGGACGAGACCCATCCAACCTGTTTTTAGAGTAAGATATGGACTTGTCGACCAAACTGCGGCGCATTCTTGAATTTCGCCATGCCTGTCAGCATCTAACGGCCATCTGTTTTTTTTTTAATTCGCGCCGCGTCCGATTCTGTTCCTGCTGAATTTCTGTGGCGGAAACTGCAATTTGGCTTCCCGGCAAAAATCGTCGCTATGATCAAGGCTTATTACCACTCCACGACTGTGCGACTTCTGGTCCATAACAATTTGTATCAAACGTAGGATATTCGATATGGATTTCGACAATTTGCATCGTGTCTACCACGCAAATGACAGGGCTTTCCATAGGGTCTTTCGCGGAGCTGATGTCGTTGAGTTTGCACCCATAGGACGGCTGACGGTATCGCATGCTAGCTTTAAATTTCAGTGCTTTATAGTATGTTGTGTCATGAAAAAGCAAATCTAAATGCCTCGGTTTATACCTGGACGCCGAGAATATCAAACTTTTTTCGGAAATGCGTCCATAGGTAGGAGAAGTTATCTCTTAGAATTAGTGAATGTCAATTTAAAGAAGTTTACGGTTTCAAATATCTCGGGGCGGGGCTGCTGCCGAATGCACAAAATAAGAACGAAGTTGTTTACCTAATCGATGCCGGCGGCAGGATTTTCACAATCCATGGAAAGTGTCTTTGAACCGGACGCGACATTTCCGTCGTCTCGAAGATCGCGCCTACCGCGCATCCGTCTCGTTAGTTCCAAACTGCTGTGAATGTTGGGCTGTTGGCGTGAAAGATAAAGGAAAACTACAGCTGTTTGACCACCCATGTCTGGGCACCGTTCTTTGAGTGAAATACACCGACTTCATCTCAGATGAGACGATCCACATTCGCTGCGACAACTCAAGGGTATCCGAGATCATCCAAGGAAGACGGTTGAGATAGTTTGGACATGCCCTTCGTCTTTCGCCTCACTAACTCAGTTTTTCTGCGCTCGATCCGTTGTCATTGCCTACCTTGAAGTGCCGAAGAGAAGGCAAGCTGGAATCCTGTTTCGACATAATTCGTCTAGACATAGCAGTGGTTCTTGGGGCTACGGCATTCGGTCTCCGTTTTTCGAGGAGATAATGAATCGAACTGTCTAGCCTGTATAGGCATAGGAAATACTTAACAGATTACGGCAGTGGAATCTGTCAGCAGTTGCATCTGCGAGTTTTACCGCGCTGATAGGCAGCTGATGTCTGGGCGAAGGCAGAAGCAACAAAGACTGCTAAAGTACGCTTCAGTCTTACGCCTGCTAGCCAATCACTGGCTTCCATTCAAACAGTGCTTGTTTCATCCCTTCGGAGAAATGTGCCGCCACATCTCGTCTTCCATAAGAGTCACAAAAACTGCTGTTGTATAAGCAAAAAATAGGAGTTATCCTGAAGTCTTAATTCCTCGCAAGCTGGCGTCTGGAACTGGCCATGTTCACCAGATCTGTGACTATTAACACCTGGATATATGACCGTCGCAAGTTCCGTGACCGGTTATTTGTTATTCTCAAGGCCGGTTATTTAGCACTCGGATGCCTGATTATCCATTCTCTGGTTCATTTTTTTCTACCGACATGGAGTATTGTGTGAAATCGGCTTGCAGGCATCCGAACCTGTCTCCGGTCGTTGGCTATCTTGACACCGGATCCAGGTCGATGGGGAAAGGGGGAGGGCGGTAGATGCTGCGCAAGTCTGCCACCATTATGCACTAAGTAACGCGCAAGCTACCGTCCTGCACCTTTTGTTCTGCGAACACAAAGGGCATCGTCGTTCGTGACGGCCGAACCGTCAGGTAATGTAAATTTAGCAGTGAATGACGTTTCTAATAAAACAAGGACATTGCTGGTAGCTTAACAACCATTCCTCATGAAGTAAAGCAAGACCTACGATGCTAAAGCCTGTCAGTCACATCGCAGCTTCCCGAAGACCTCGTGTCGTTTCGATTCTTCATCATATTTATAGATACTACGGTTCTGCCAAGCTGCTTCTGCTGTTCGTGTAAAATTAAGCTATTCCGAAGGGGATCTGCGCATTTGGCGGTTTGGAGTCACTTTTATCCCTTTTTAGATAGCACTTTAGTCATTTAACTAACATCCTCAATACCCAGCGATGTTATTTTGTCTTGTGGTGAAGCAAGAGCTGCTATAGCAGTTTACCTTTTGGTCGTTTTAGATCGGGGTTCATGGAATCCGAATCGAATTTACTAACGAGCGAGGCATGCAGCGCTCGGCTACCTATCTTCCGGAAGTTGCTGCTGAACAAGGTTGCTTGCGAATTTTTACTGTCTTTCATCATAAACAAAATCCGGACTCTCTCAATTATTTCTTTCGTTTTCAGGTTATTTCTACCGGTGCTCTTTCCACTGTGTTTATCTGATTCAGTCTCTGTTGTGATGGAGTTTGCCGGCCGTTTGCAGCTCCTCTTCGATTTTTATGATTAGAGCGCGTGCCTTTGTTTTTATCGGTCAGAATGATGCCATATTCACCTCATGAATCCTTGTCTTTAGAAAATAATTCTCTTCATGATTTATCATGGAAAATTAAACAGGGATTTTTGGGTGCGGATAAATTCACATCTGCAGCACACCAACATGTCTACATAGCGTGCCCAAAACTGTCTTGTTCCAGTTGATAAAATCATACTCGGTTCAGCCCTAGGGGAGCAAATACTACTCGTTTTCTCGCATGGTGTGACGTTTGGGAGATGTTTAGTACACGCCCGAGCTGATGGACCTTTGTAAAAATCTCCCATTCTGAGCAGCTGCCCTCTTGACAAATGTTGCCTGTCACCCCCCCCCCCACTAAGCAACTTTACTACTGCCCTGATGCATATCCCAGGATTCAGTTTTCAACATATAACTCACACGTCACCAACTTCCTTTAGTTATCATCGTCTAAAGCTAAGTACATAAAAATGCTGCCATGAAAAAAAACTGCACGATAATCAGCGCAATCGCCTTGAGTTGCCGATATTACGTTTATATGCAAGAATGAACTTCCTGGAAGCCCACTCAGATTCATGAATGCGTAACCTTGTCTCCCAGCCGACGGCGAATGCCCGAAATTCCGCTTACGGTGAACTTTGAAGCACCTTTGAGTGATCGGCCACTAAGAAGACTACTGAAAATTTGTCCGACCTCCGTACGAAACTGGACTCAGACAAGTCTCCGAAGTCAGCGTTGTCCATTTTCCAATGGTCCGGAAGGAGACAGTTCATTCTGTAACATTTCGGAGGTCGACTCTTAATGTTTTTGATGATTTTGCATGTCTGATTTCAACGTTTCGCCCCGTGGGGATCGTCTGGCATGGCAGTCGTCGTGGGTTGGGGTAAGGAGTGGGTATTTGGGTATGGAGCCGAAATTTCGTTTTATACGGACTGGCGGAGAATGAAGTTTAGGTATGCTATATACTAGTCGAGTGCTTTTCCTAGCCAGCTGTGATAGCTGGTGGGAGGGCTAATTTTTCTTCATCAGCTTATTGTTTCATCTTAAAATCCTAAATAATGCAGTCATCGCTGAAGTTAAAACCAGCTACTGAACTTTTCTCTCAGGACTTCGATATTATCTCCAGATTACTAATTTACTCTTAATATGTTATATTGAACTACCCGGAGTTGCTTTAACTTGTTTTAACTCACACCTTTTCCGTGACTGGTAACAGCAAAACGCTTCTTGTAGTTTGATTCGTAGGACTGACTGAGTTAAACGGCCTGCAACATTGCGCAGACAGAAGAAGACGAACAGATGGAATTTCATACTTTTATTGCTTGGTCTGCGAATGCATATACGGTCAGGTAAGCATTGGCTTGACTTAACAACAGCCAACTCTGGCAACCATCAGTCGCCTGTGTGATTCGGCCACTGAAATCACACGATTTTCTAACGAAAACCAATAATTGGTGAAGATTGGAAAGGCACCGCGCAGCGTGCCGATAACCCATAAAGCGATTACTAACTTGAGACCACGGTCGTGCAACCTTTTTAGTGCTAAGAGGCAGTCCACAGCTCGCGCATCCAGAAACGACGTGGTTCATGCTCCATCGCGTATTTGCGTCTGTGGTGCGCGGCGCGCAATAGTCGGCAAATAGAAAATCTCGTATTTTTTTCCCCCTGGAGACCCTTACATAGATGTTCATTCTCCGAAGGTCAAAGGGCTTCGCGTCGTTCAGGTGCATGAAGCCACTTCTAGGACATTCCTCTGGGTGGAGTTGATAACGCAACCTCATCTTCACACCCTGGATATGGTGGTGACTGCCGAGACTGATGCGTTGTCTGCAACGTGGCACTGCGTGCGTTTGGTCTGCTGCATTATCTTTCGCGGCCGTT